TTCAGCTTCTATGAGTTTGTAGTCTCATTTTTCTGTTGTTTTGGAAACCAGCTTTAATCCACTGTGGTCACAAAGGATACAGAAGATTATCAGTTTTCTTGTATCTGTTCAGACTTGTTTGGTGAGTGATTATGTTGTCAATTTTTGAGAATGTTCTGTGAGGTGGCGAAAAGAAAGTATATTCTTTTGGGTTTGTGTAAAATTATCTGTAGGTATATTTCATTTATAGCATCTTTTAGCTCCATTTTTTCTCTGTTTATTTTTTATCTGGGTGACCTGTCCATTCATGCAGCTGGGACATTGATGACTCCCACTATTAATGAGTGAGGCAGGATATGTGATTTAGGCTCCTGTAATATTTTTTTACATGTGTATGCCCTTTTATTTGGGGCATGGATGTTAAGATTTGAAATGTCATCTTGCTGGATTTTTCCTTTGATGAGTATGGCATGTCATTCTCCATCTCTTTGGATTAAATTTGGTTTGATGTCTGTATTTTAGATTTTAGGACAGCTACACCAATTTTCTTCTTGGGTCCATTTGCTTGCAAAATATTCTTTCCACTCTTTACTGTGAGGATATACCTATCTTTGACTCTGAGGTGTATTTCTTGTATGTAGGAAAAGGATTGATTCTCTTTTCATATCTAGTCTGTTAGTCTGTATCATTTAAGTTTGGAATTGAGTCCATTGATATTGAGAGAGATATAAATGACCAATGATTGTTGGTTCCTCTCATTTTGTTGTTGTTGGTGGTAGTGGTGTGTGTTTACTTTCCTTGGCTTTTGCTGGTGTGGTTTTTATTTATTGTCTGTCTTTTTGTGGATGTAGTTAACTTCCTTTTGTTGAACTTTTTTTTCTTGTACCTTCTGTAAAGATGGACTTCTGATTACATATTGTATAAATTTAATATTGTCAGGATATATCTTTGTGTTCTCCATCTATAGTGATTGAAAGTTTTGCTGGGTATGGTAGTCTGAACTAGCATTTGTGTTCTTTTAGAGCTTTATGATATCTAGCCAGTCTCTTCTGGGTTTTACAATCTCTATTTAGATGTCAGGTGTAATTCTAATAGTTCTGCATTCATGTGTTAAGTAGCCTTTTTTTCCTTGCAGCTTCTAATCTATGTTTTTTGTTCTGTGTGCTTACTGTTTTGATTATAGTGTGACATAATGACATTCTTTAATGATTTGGTATCTGGCGTTTTGTAAGCTTCTTGAACCTTTAATAGGCATGTTCTTTTTTAGGTTAGGAACATTTTCTCATGATTTTATTAAATATTTTTCCTGAGTTTTTGAAGTGGAATTATTTTCCTTCTATTCCTAATATTCTTATATTTGGTTTTTACATAGTGCCCTAGTTTTCTTTAGTTGTTTGCGATAGGGTAACTTAGATTTAATATCTTCTTTGCTGATAAATTTATTTCTTTTATCATATCATTGATGTCTGAGAGTCTCTCTTCTGTCTTTTATATTCTGTTATTGATGCTTGTATCAGTAGTTTCTCTTCACTTAACCAGATTTTTTTTTATTTATAGATTTCCATCAGTTTTTTTTTGGGGGGGGGTGCTACTTCAATTTTCTGTTCTTGAGTATTTTCATTCACCTTTTTGTTAGGTTTCTTTAAAGCATTTTTTCCTTTTCTCTTTAAGGACAGCTATCATCTTCATGAAGTTCATTCTAAGTTCATTTTTTCTGTGTTTTAAATGCACCCGCATATTCAGGTCTTGATGTTGCAAGATAGCTGGGCTCAATTGTTGCCATATCTCCATGGATGTTGATGTATTCTTACTTTGGCACCTGGGTTTGGGATGATTATAGGTATTCATGTTGATTTCTGAGTTTGTCTTTTTTGGATGGGTGCTTTATTCCTTGTCTTTTTTTGTTTGTTTGTTTTATTTTTGCCTTTTTTCTTTTCTTTCTTTCTTTCCTGTTTTGGTCTTTTTGTTAAGGATTTCTGAAAGGTGAAAGCTGGCTTGACCTGTGATCTAGTAGTGATTCCCTCTCATAAAAGTGTATGGCATCCTGGCACCTAGTTTGGACTTTCTTTTAGCAGGGGGTCTCTGTTCTTCTGACTGGAGAGGCCTACACCTGTTTTCTGAATGATGTATCACGTGCCAGATCAATGGAAGCTGACTGCATTTGGAGGTAGAATTTGTTCTTGTGTTGGGTGATAAATTGGGAGGGGTAGGTGGTTGAAGGAATCCTTGGAGACAGAATCTAGGGAATGGGGCAGTTCAGATGGCAGACAGTACACTTAACTGATCTTCTGTTTAGTCAAGTGATGATTTTTTTTCTTTTCTTATTTAAATTTGAAACAAGGTTGTTTTGCATGTCAATCCCAGTTCCCTCACCCTTCCATCCTCCCCTATCACCCCCATTAAACCCCAGCCCATTCCCTTCTCTCCAGGGAGGGTGAGGCCTTCCATGGAAACTCTTTGAAGTCTGTCATATCATTTGCAGCAGGGCCTAGGCCCTCCCCCATGTGTCTGGGCTGAGTGAGTATCCCTCTATGTGGAATGGGCTCCCAAACTCCATTCGTCTATGAGGAATAAATACTGACCCATTACTAGATGCCTCACAGACTGCCCAGTCTTCCTAACTAACACCATTCAGGGGGTCTGGGTCTGTCCAATGCTGGTTTCCCAGTTCATACCTCTAAGGATTAACTTTTTTTCTAATTTGTTCATTTCAAAATAATATTTTCTTATTTTACATACCAATTCCAGTTTCCATTTCCTCCCCTCCTCCAGCTTCCTCTATCGTTCCCCCAACCCCATTCATCAGAGAGGGCAAGGCTTCCCTTGTACAGTCAACAATGTCTGGCATATCACTTTGAAGCTAGACCAAAACCCTCCCTATTATGTCTAGGCTGAGCAAGACATTCCTCCAGAGAGCATGGACTCTAAAAGCGATTTCAAGCACCAGGGATTAAATCCTACTCCCACTGTTATTAGCCACACAGACTACCCAAGCCACACAACTCTCACAAACATTCATAGGGTCTAGCCTGGTCCTATGCAGGTTCCCCCAATGTCAGTCCAGAGTCATTAAGCTCCCACTAGCTCAGGTCAGCTGCAGGTATCTCCATCATGTTCTTGACCAGTATTCTCATATTAACACTCCTCCCTCTCATCCACTGGATTCTGGGACCTTGGATCAGTGCTTAGCTGTGCATCTCTGCGTCTGTTTCCATCCATTTTATATGATGTTTTATGATGATAATTATAGCCACTTTGGTGCTTTCTCAGAAAATGGGGAATCCATCTACATCAAGAACCAACAATACCAGTGTTTGGAATATACACTAAGCATGGCCATTCTTACCACAAAAATATTTTCTCAACTATGTTCATAACAGTATTATTAGTAATAGCCAGGACCCAGAAAAACCTAGATGCTCCTCAACTGAAGAATTGATAAAGAAAGATGTGATAAATTTACACAATGGAGTACTACTCAGCAGTCAAAAAACAATGACATCTTGAAATTTACAGGCAAATGGATGGAACTAGAAAAAAAACAACAAACAAACAAACAAAACCATCCTGAGTGTGGTAACCTAGAACCAGAAAGAAAAATATGGCATTTCCCCACTCATAAATGGATAGTAAGCATAAAGCAAAGTGTAATGAGCCTACATACTACAACCCCAGAGAATCTAGGTAACAAGGATGACCTTAGGAAAGACATACATGGATCATCCTTAGCATGGGGAATAGACAAGAGCTCCTGAGAAAATTGGGAGCATGTTGTGGGGAGAAGGCAGGGCAGAAGCCAGAAAGGAGGGGAGAATGGGATGGGGGAGGAGAACAAGAGGGAAAGGGATGGTAGACACAGGGGAAGGACAGAGAGTGAGAACAAGGAAAGCAATATATTCACTGAGGGAGTCAATATGGGGACAGCAAGAACCCAGGCACTAGGAAAATTCCCAGGAATCCACAAAGATGAACCCAGATAAAACTCTAAGCAATAGTGGAGAGGGTGCCATAACCGGATTTCCCTTGTAATCAGATTAAGGGTTAACTCTTAATAAAAGCCACAAAAGTACATATTTTTATATTTTCTGTTGTAATTTTGTATTTTAATTCACAATTAATGAAAATAAAAGGAAGAAAGAATTTGTGTAGACATAGTAGAACCATATCCACATTTGGGAAATGCAATGATAGTTAAATCAGTTGGATATTTACGGACATGCAGGCACAAAAATCACAAACATTTCTGTTACATTCGGGGGATAGGGCAGATGGTTAGAGATGACTAATGAAAATGATCCAGTTTATAGATACAGCTTCCTACCCTTCAACGTCTTCCAGAATATGTATAATGCATAAATTGTTTCCTTAAACCTCAAAAGTTTGATTTTCTGATTGCAAATTTAAGACTGTGTCCAGATATGCTCCATGTGCTCACACAAAGGTCTCTAAATTGGGAGTTTTATAGCTAAATTCTTGCCACACTATGGAGAAATAGTGGTATACATAAATAATCCAACTTCATTATAATCATGTAAGTTCTTTTTCAACATGTAAATTAAGAATTTGATACAGCTTCAGCTTCCTCATCATGTAGCTCTCAGACATTACATGGTCTCTGAAGTGCTGGGGTATCAAGGCCCTAGAGCTTAGGTCTTAAATCACCAATCTATGACTCAGTGGTGCAGGCAAGGCCTTAGATGGGGAATGCTTTTGACTGGCAGTGAGATACTGATAGGCTACACAAGAATGTGCAACATAACAATGAGAGTATCAAAATGTTAAAATTTTTCTCAAAATATCACTGAATTTTTCATACATGAATTTGGAAGCATTAAGTTTGGCAAACTAATTATTAGTCTTTGATTCAAACTATAAAATGTTCCATTTACTGAAATATTCAGTTTCTTTTGCTCTCAACTATTTTTCTTCAATTTTTAAATAGCAATTGAAACAAACGCAGGAGAAAAAGAGGCATTCAGTGTGAAGAAACACTTACCACTCTGAAATCTCTTATCTTTCAGGAAAGAACGGTGACGATCAGAAGGCAGACAGTAGGAGGATTTGGTTTAAGTATAAAGGTAGCCCCCTTTCCAGTCTATCTTTGCAAATGCTAAGTTTTAAAGGCTAACATTTTGTGTACATTAAAATGTTGTTGATTCATAGTGATATAAAAATGTCTCTGAAATGTTTAGAGCAGGTTAAAATCTGGGGTGGTCTTATAGAACCTATCATTATCTTGTGATCTAGACATTACAGAAAAGAGCTGCTTAACTTACCTAATGTTAAGTAGAAATTGGCACCTTTCTTTATGAATCTTCCAATGAATATTAACTATTTCGTGGCCAGAAGCTTTCCTTTCTCATTCAGAGCAAAATGGTTGAGTAAAATAGGAATAGTTATCTATTAAAGAGAACGGAGACAAGTGAGGCATGGGTTGCAATATTATATTTATACATATATGTATGTATGTATGTATATGCATATGTATATGCCTATATATAGCTTGATTTCATTTATTAATTCCAAGTTTTAAATATGATATTTAAGAGTTTATTGACCTGTATAGTGTTGTCTGTTTTGAATGATAAAAATGTATCTCTTTCAATTTATCATCATTGAAATGATTGAAAAAAAGTAAAAGAACTAGGTTAAATGTGAGTAATGAATTCTTAACCAAACAACTTTGTGTTATTAATCTGACTTTCTGAATTATTAAATGAAGGTTGTTAATCACAATTGTTCCATTTGTATTTACTTACTTAGTATGTTGCTTTTTTTGTGAATTTTTAAAGACATTTTACCCAATTCCTGTTATCATTGTCAGGAAAGGGACATTTTGAATTTGTGACACTCAGCTATTGTCAACTTTCTCAAAATGACTTAGTAAAATCACAGTGTGTGTAGTGCTACGAATCTCAATATTCAAAAATATTTGTGTTAAAATATACTTTATGTGCATTTTTTCATCAACTCAGGCAAGGGACACATACAGAATATATTATAGGATGTTGAAATTAGGCCAAGGAAACATAATTTTCTGTATTTGCTTCAGTTAAAAAGTCAATGTTAGAACACTTTGGAAATATAGTCAGATCTACTAAAGGGAAGATACTGTCTTTACTAAAGATGACAGAAAGAAAATACTGTATTAGTCAACTGTGAAGGTATCTTCAGTAGAGTAAATATTAGGCAGGTTTTGGCATGCAGTTAGTTGTTCTGATTCAACACATGATTCCTGAGTTTTAGCTTAACAAAAATCTTTTAAAATATATTGGTAGGAGGGCACTAGCATGCCTGTTTGGAAACATTATCAAACACATGTTATTAGAAATAAGAACTAGCTGCCCCTGCCTAGCAACTGCTAAGAGATCTGAGTGTCCCACTATAGTGCCTACTGCTTTTGTGGCACTGCCATGTAGTGTGCAGATGACCCCTTAAGCCTCTCTGTTGTTGTCCCCACAGTTCACTCTGTTTAAATTATCCATAAAGCCTCCCTTCCATAGTCCTCAGAGAATGCTGTGTCCAGACAGCCCCCTTGATCTGTGGTCTCCACTGTGTAATATGTGAACATTTTTTCCATTAGATTTCCCTGCCATGGTCCCCAGGACATGCTCTTTAGAGATTACCTCTCAGATGTCCCTACTCTAGTCTTCTAACTATGCAGTATGTAGATGGATCCTCAGCCCTAGCTTTTGTGGGTTCCACTGTGCATTGAATGTGCAGGTAACCCTTCAGCTCACCATTTTTGAGTCCATTTTCTAAATTCAAAAGGCAAACATGCCAGCAACACTCTATTGTCAGTCTTTTTCACAATACTTTCTGAGTGAACCTTAGATAGGATTGGCACTTTAGACACATAGGTTAAATAGTTAGTACTGAGTTAGGATCATAACAGTCTTTAACAATGCCTCCTTTTCTCGTTTGGTGGAGGCTGGGGCAGATGGACCTGGGGATGGTTGGTAGGAAATATTAGGTTTAAAAATGAGCTGATTACTGGATTTGAAGATAAACTTAAGTTGATTAATATTATACCTTTACTCTTATTTTTCCCTTTCTCAGCAATAAAAGCAAAATACATAAAAGTTTAAAAATTAAAGTCGAATATTATTTTTAAGTGATTTTCTATCTCATACCTAATGTCATCAGTGAACACATTCTAAAATGTTGTGATTATACTGATGGGTATCTTAGAGAGCTATTCATTCTAAACACAGAGCACATCCAGTTACTCCAGATGATCCCTTCAACCACATTTTCTTAACATGTATACTCCTTTTCTACACAACACTTCACTTGTTGATATATGTCCTTGCTTTAACACCCACCACATCCAAACTTCTTACACTGTTGAGGTGATACATTTTTTTTCTGGAAATTATTCTAAGATGCATTTTATTTGCTTTTATCAAAATTCTGACCCCTTATTGCACTTTCTTCCTTATGTATTTAAACCAAGGGCCACTGTTGGATTCTTGGATGATAATTGACTAGCCTATGCTTTTACACACACGAGTCTAATACTAATTAGGAAATACAGATAGTTCTGCTCCTACAACACTTAGACTATTCATAATTTTGTTTATCCATTTGTGTAGGTAGAGGGTCTCTCTGGTTATTTAGCACTCAGAATTACTGAAAGAGCATCTGCTTGCCAGAATAGAATAGTCAAAAAACTGAAATATATAAATATTTGATGTGTGGAATCCTATATAACAAATGTCAATATTCCTTTCATTCCTATAATAAATTTTGAAGAGAATGTCACTACTAACCTTATTAATTTTGAGAAATAAAAATTTATAGTCAGTTGTTACAAATTATTAAATATCATTACAAAACATCTAAATACTTTTCCTAGCTTCATGGAAATGATACTTACTTAAAATAAATTCTACAAATTTATTTTAGTTCTGCCTAGTATTCATTAGATGCAATATTTATAGCTTGCCGTATTTATTTATTTACTTTTAAGTTTTTGGCTAAAAGCTGACTTAAAATGTCATATATGACTGTCTCTTTCTAGGGAGGTGCAGAACATAACATTCCAGTTGTCGTTTCCAAAATCTCTAAGGAGCAAAGAGGTAATGTGCTTAGATAACCCTGTAATGGTCAGTCCTCTGTGATCCCATGCTTATTGATTGGTATGGAATTAGCTCCCCTGGATTCCCAGCCTCATATACTGAGAAGTCAAATCTGATTCTTCAGTTTCCCTTGGTCCTCCTACAGGACAGAAAGGGAAAAGATGGACTCACATAGTTCAAATGACCATATATGAATTGACCATATACAAAATGACACAATTAAGACCTATCTGTACTGTTGGCTAAAGATAGAAAAATCAAGACACATTTAATGGACAAATACATATGTGATAGTTTTTCTCAATTTTGCTCACTTCCTGTGAGGCTTCTTCTAAAATCTATCATAAATAGAGAAATCAAGTATTTATTGGCAATTACCAGGAAAACAACATAGTATTTCTCCAAATGCATGGAACAGACAGAGTGAAAGTCTAAATCTCAGATATTTGCATGGAGATATTATATTGTAAATGCATAAATATAATTAATTTTATTTTAATTATATTTTAATTAATATTTTAATTTTAATTTTAATCAATTTTAATTAATTTTAATTTTAATTAATTTTAATTTAATTAATATTCATATATACATTATGTATATGTATGTATACATGTTGGTCTTAGAGAACTGATAATAACATACATTGATCACATTCATAGTCATTCTTCTAGATCTAGTTACACTTGAGAAGTCAACCATGCTACAGTGGAAAATCACACATCCAAAAGTATTTGGTCAGCACAAATTAGCATTTTTGAAAAAGTAAAAAAGTCACAAAGTTGGAAGGGGGCTGACCATATTCTAAGAACTGTAAAGTTATAAGCTGCTAGAACCCAAAAAAATATGTCTGCCTATTTCAGCAATTGAAGAAAGCTAATAAAATATATATATATATATATATATATATATATATATATAATCTTTTCTTATTTTACATATCCATCCCAGTTCCCTCTCCCTCCATCCCATGCCACACGACCCCTCCCCTACCATCCCATTTTTGAGTTTACATTCTTTATGGTCCTTATAAAATACTAACCATATAAAGGACTTACAGCTTGTTTACAGTTTTACCCTTTATTAAGACAAAAAGCTTTATTTATTTGATAAATGCCAAGGTGTATTCAATTTTTCTTACAGCGGAGCTGTCAGGACTACTTTTCATCGGAGATGCAATTCTACAGGTATACATCTCATTATTGTATTTGTGGATGCAAACAAAAGCCAATTTGCAATGCACTACTTGAAACTAAGGATTTTCTTTCGTTGCAGATAAATGGAATTAATGTAAGGAAATACAGACATGAAGAAGTGGTGAGTTTACTTTTTTCTAATGCTATCATTTCTCGGATTGAAGTTAATTATGAAGGTACAAAATTATGTAGAATATTACTAATTTTTAAATGCCTTTCAACCAACTTTTACTCCTAAAAATACACTTAGAAATACTATCATGACGAAATGTACTTCAAATTGAAATATATATGTAATTTTTTCAAATTCTTGAAGGTTTATAGATGAATTGATTTCTGAAAGTTTAAAGAGCATTAGGGGCAGTTGTCAGTGTGTGTGTGTGTGTGTGTGTGTGTGTGTGTGTGTGTGTGTGTGTGTGTAATGAAGGGTGTAAAAAGGAGAAGGAAGAGATCAAGGGATATGGAGAGGATTTACCCAAATTTTCATTATGGCATCTAAAAATTTCTAATATAATACAGCTGGGACATAAAAGCTGAGTTTCAGCACCAAAATGAATGGTTCAACAGTGGATATCTTCTAATCCATATTTTCACAAATAGGTTAGAGACTCTATTGCAGACAATGAAAGGGTATTATAAAACTGAACAAAAGTGGTACACATTTGGGGAAACGTTGGTCACAATTAAATAAATACCATTCAGTTCTTACTGAAAAAAGATAAAAGCTGCATTTAAAATATGTTCAAAGATCAAAATGAAGTTAATCTGATGCATTTATACATTTAAAATCTCAGCAGGGAAGCTGCAAGTATCTGTGGAAAGCTTCCATTTCACAATTAGTGCACTTGCACAGAGCTGGGCATCACGGTCTGCTAGTGTTTACCAACAACTTTGTAATTACAAAAACGTATTAAGTTCTTCTTTTAGCCCCTCTGTGTTGAAAATCCTGTACAAGTCTTTGATTCCCTATGAATATGTGCAGAGCAAGGTGATATTTTAAGGACAATTTGCAGCAGATAAAAGACTACCACATTGCCTGTAAGGAACTTTATCTTCCATCTTGGAGCTCCTTATGCAGAAAGGAAGAAACAAAGTGCATTCTCTTTTCAAACCACATGCTGGTAGTTGGGATAAATACATATAGTTTGTTCTTTAGAGTAGGAGGCTTGCTCAGACCAACAGTAGTAGTTTGATCATACATATGATCATAGCACAGAAGATTACTAATAGCCTGACTTAGAATGGTCCATATTTTGATTCTAAGGAAAGTTATTACATATTGTATTGTTAATTATACACAGTTACTCATAATAAAGGCATTTTTAGATAAGCTTATTCCCAGTAGCTTTTAAATACAGGTAACAATTGTTTGTTTTCCTCTTTACTATTCTTTGTTTGTTTTTGAAACAAGGCTCTCTGTGTACACCTTGTTGAAATGAAACTCAGTATGTAGACTAGGCTGGCCTTGAAATCATAGTGATCTGACTTTCTTTGCCTCCTGAGTGATGGGATTAAGAACATGAGCCACCAAATCCAGCTGCACAAATGTTTTTTATTTAACTCTAATCATTTTCTTTACAAAGGCAATTAGAAATATTACCCTCAATAATTTAATTCTTGTGTGAATGGAATTACTACCTTACAGGAACTGAGGTGTTAATTACACATTCTATAATAAATGTATATGTCTGTGGCCATGTCAACAGCACACATTTACTCATGACTTCATGAACTCTATATCATATACTTGAGTATATATGATTCATCAGATTTAAGTTTCACACTATAATATCAAAAGTCCGTAATGCGGCATGATTTTTCTTTATCTATTGTCTTAGCTATGTTAAAATTTATGTGTTAGGTCAGGAGTTGTGGCATAAGCATTTATTATAAGTTCTTGGGAGGCAGAGGCATGTGAGTCTGTGTGAGTTCAAAGCCAGCCAGATCTATTTAGCAATTTTTGGGTCAGCTTGGACTACACAATGACATTGTAATGTCTCATTGTCTCAAACAGTAACATAAAGAAAAAGGAAAAACAAACAAGAAAAAAAAAAGAATAGAACTCCCAAAATTTTTTCTGAAGATTAAATTTAATGAGCTTTTCTGCCTTAAGGCAGAACTTTAAAGTTTATGAATCTCAGGAAAAGGTGTGCCCCCTCCATGATTTTTACAATGAGAAATCATTCCATAATTTGAAATGCAAATACTTTTATCTTAATACCAAATTTATGATATTGAGAGAAATTCTAGAACATAAAATCATTTAGATTTTTATGAGAGCAAATTGAGAAGCTAAAATTTTATCATGCAAATTGACTTTTTTTTAAACAGGGAAAACAAATACCTTAAAAACTAATACAAAATACTACTCACTAACAGTTTTGCTATCCTAATAGAAGCTTTACTTAATTTAAATTTTCACATGGAGGTAAAAACAATGTTTGATTCCAGTTGATGATAACCAGAAAACAGTATTTCAGCATTTATAACTACCATTCCAGAATTCAGGGCTTCTTTATGTGTGCACAGGTGCAAGGCGTGTACAGCAGCAAGGACCACATCTAAGATGGAATCTGAGCACAAAGCACACAGGTCACTTTAGACAACAGCAAATCAGAAGAGTATCTTTGGGCCCCACGTCATGCGTTAAGTGCTAACGTGTTCACAATTTGGAAACTGATTTTGAACAGTACTTGATTAATATCTTCTTAAGAATTTAAACCCCAGTGGTCACTTTCCCTTTCAACTAAATACTCTCAAGGAAAGACATCTGTGAAATGATTTACTTTTAATATTTTTAATTAGTTTGTGAAATGTTAATTGCCAAGACTAAAGATCAGAATTGATGCTCATGGTGTCTAATTTTAGAAATATCAAAATATACAATAGTTTTTGCAGTACTTACACTTAATTGATACTTATAGTAGTTTTCTTTTTTAAATTTGTGTCTGTCTCCATTATATTGTGAATTCTCAGGTAACATTAATGGCTAAATCTTTCCTTAGCTTTTTATTTTCATTAAATTCTTGTTGCAGTCTTATTATTTGAGCAAAGATGAACAATTATACCTCAAAGTCTAAAAGCTTCAGCTTCTGTAACAAGGCAAATTGAAGCTGAGCAAACTCTTACATAGGTGGGCATTGTCAGTATCTTGTATTACATTAATTGACACTTTGACAACTTTATATATACCCACATCCTGTCTTTTCACCTTCCACAGACGTTAAAGTCTTAAGTATAACCCTTTCCTTTCTCCACCAAGTTACTACCCATATTCTCTGCATGTAGCATGGATAAACAAACAAACAAAAAAAAAAAAAAAGAAAGAATGCAACTTGAGGAGGAAAGGTTTTATTTTTATTTGGCTACCCTTAAAAATCACAGTGAACATTCAGAGCAGGAATTCAAGGCACAAACTGAAGCAGAGATCACAGAGGAGCACTTCTTCCTGGCTTGTTTCCCATGGTTTGTTTAGCTTAAATTCATATACAAACTGGAACTACCTGCCCACAGTTGGCTGAGTTACCCAGCATCAATCATCAATCCAGATAATGTCAGTCTTATTAAGGCCAATTCCTTGATTACTTTTCCCTATTCACAGATGACTCTTATTGTGTCAAGTTGACAAAGCTAATGAGAGCATGTTAAATTATTTTGATCTATTTGTTTGTTTTTGCTTTGTGCTGCACTTACTTTTAACAGAGTCATCAGTGGAGGCATGGGTGTGAAGCTACCCTCTAGAGTCTGAGTAACACACAATTGTCTAAATCACTGACACAATTACTTCTCCTCAGCAAGATGGCTTAACTGGGTGAGGGGATACCCATGAGCCCTCCCCTATTTATGACTGAATGTTTACTGGCTCAGTCATATGCAGGTCTTATACAGAGTGCCATAGACATTGAGTGATAAATGCCTCAGCCCTGAAGACAGTTTCAAGGCTGAACACACAATTATTCTGCTCTTATATTCTTTCTGCAGTGTTGTCTTAGGCTTAGAAAGAATACATTGAAAATTAACTTATTCTCAGCATTTTAACTAGCATGAAGCTTTTATATTAACCACCATGTGTTGCAAAGAGAAACTTCTTTGATCATGACAGAGAAAACTGTTAGTGTGTGGCTGTAAAAATAAACATTTAAGGGACATTTTGACAGCATGTCCATTTAGAAAAATAAATTTTAGGTAGATTCACTCCTATTACCTATAACCACCTTCTATGGGCCCTTGACCAGGTAAACATAAATTAGAATGAACTACAGAGCACAGCATGGGTAGAACAAAAATCACATGGCTACTTCTCTGCCAGTTATGTCATTATTGAGCCAGGAAGCACATCTTGATTGTGAGTTGGTATTACATCATGAAAAACATAAATCTGGGAAAGACTATTGCTGACTTTTCTACCCAGCAGCTGGTACAGCCAGTCACACTACATTGAAGTCTAGCCAGCAGATAGGAAGGCTTCCAACTCAGGTCCAGAATGATTTCATTGAATCCTGCAGCCAGTATTTGTAGAGTCTTCAGCAACAGACTCTTAGTGCTTTGGTCTAGGTAGCAACCAATAAAATTGTCTGTAGCCTATTTTTATTTAGGTATGTGTGGCTATTGGGCCTTCTTAGTTAACTATTCCTACACAGGTGTCTCATAACTTGTATCAGAATTTGTATTTAATAACCTATAGCTTCTGGGAACAGCATTATCAATACACAATATATACTAACACTGTGTAAAGCCATTTTTGAATGACTTATAAAGTGGTAGATTCGTATGTGACTTGTTCAAACATTCATGCCCTTGGACCCCAACTTTTCTTCTAACATCTATACCCTTACTATTTATAATTTGCCATCCCAAGTTTTCACTTTCTATATTTTCATAGCATATATTTCCTCTATCCATACTCCTTTTAAAGTATGTGTCCTCTCCTCAACATGGCATTTTTCTTACTCCCATGGATTTACAGGCATTCTAGTTTAAATAAGCAAATACTAAAATTTAAATCTATATGACACTTATGAGAAACATTATGCCACATTTGAGTTTCCCTATCTGGGTTGCCTCACTCAACATAACATTTCTAGTTTCATATATTTTTCCTGAAATTTTCATAATTCCTAT